GTTGCAGCACTTGCTGTCTCATTGCCATCGACAAATATACTTTACAAGATCACATCTATTCTCGAAGAACAAACATCTCGATCAATCATTTTGTTTGTCTTCGAATCATTACAATCATTATACATTATCGAACGTTGGGCATGGCAAGTATTAAATAAAGATTTTCAAGAATGGATCAATGAAAAGAGTTACATTGACCTATTTCATGCAATTCATTTATTTAATATCAAACTGCTTTCAAATCATGATGAAATCGAATTCGATATAAAAACATCACTTTTAATTCCATCGAGCATCGATTGGATCGATGGTATACTCGATCAAATCAAATCAAGCAATGATACGTTTTTGACTATTGTCAGTCTGTGGTTCGATGTCATCTCCTATTTAGTTCATGAGTACTCTGAACTTAGGGATACATCCACTATTATATATATCAATAATCGGCTTGGTCGTGATTTTTTGATGACAAATGAATACCAAATCTATTTGAAACAACTTCAAGAACCACATTCGTCGCAAGCAATATTTACTCCTAAGCAACTTTTCTATTTGAAAACGTGTTCATTTTCGCTACATGTCTATTTGTGTTCAAAATCACAACAATTTCCTTTCACCGGTGAACAAATTATTAAATTTATCGCCGATAACTATTCACAAATGATTCTTGTGCAAAGTCATATTGTGGACTCATGGAGCAAAGAATTACTTTCTTGTATCGCACATCTTATTGCTCTCATTTGTTCTTGTTGTTGGTGGGGTGATGAAAAAGCGAAATATATAAAAATACTTGTTTCACCTAACGACCTAACGTATGATCATATTTTGGCACTTATTCGCATTGTTAGTTATCAACCATTTCATCAATGTATCTCCGCTCAATGGTACAATGATGAAACTCTTCTTATTGATGCAATTTTAGTCTTTCTGTATGGGACATTGGAAATACGAGATATACGTTGTTTCATAAGTTCACAAACAAATTTATTTGCTACATTATTGGTTATAGCACAAACCTCATCATACGATCGAATATGTATTTGTGCTTATGGATTCTTAGCCGAAATTCTTACTGATGAACAATTGAAAGAGCTTAAAATTTCTGAGAATATCAGTGGATTTTTCTTTGATATTCTTGAACAAGCATGGAAAGATCCGACAAAAAGATGTAAAACGATTCCAATTCCGCATGTATTGAAAGGTATGTTTATCTCAGATAATTAATGTCAAATATATTTTCAGTTGAAGCATTGAATGCCAAAGACGTCGTTATTTTGTTTGGAAGAGTATAACGGGTGATCCAAGATAAACTGCACTAAATTCTGATGCATTTTTCTCTCGTTTTTCATTTATGAGAAAAATGCCCTGATATACCAAAAGATAGAGAATCTCAAGCTCTACAAAAATATACTATTTATTTTAAAAAACAATCTTCCTCGCATTATAACATTCGATATATTCTTTTGGTCCAACTTAAGATACTGCGACGCACGATGTCAAGTGGAATCTTTTTGACATCTTGTTTTATTTCCTCAATTAATGTTTGCTTGTTCGTTATGAGACTTCAGTGCATTTGAAAACGAAGTTCATCCCAGATGCAATAGTCTAGTGGGCTAAGATCTGGACTATTCGGAGGCCAGCGATCTTTAGTCCAATAATCGGAAAATTTTTCTTTACATCATTGCTGTGTCATTTTGTCCCTGTGTACTGATGCACCATCTTGTTGAAAAATAAAATCACTACCTAACATTTTTTCATCATCTTCCAACGCTATGGTAAAATTTCTTCGATATATCGTGAACTGTTAATGGTACCTTCATTGATCATCGGTCGTGCCACTCCTTGGTAGAATAGCCCCAATGAAATCATAACGCCAGGCGAAAATTGCGTTTCACGATGAATTTCACCTATATAAGCTGCTTCTTCGCGTGCAGTAGCATAAATTCGATCACTCTGTGTATTAAAGGCATCATTAAGTCGAAAGTATTTCTCATCGGAGAATATAATCTGTTTCGACATGGATTTCGTGATATTTTTTCTAACCCAAATGCCAAATGATTTCCTTTTACTTTTATGCTAATCAGCAAGTTTTGGTGCCACTCGCATTTTATAAGCCTTGTAGCCAAGATCGTCCTTAGCTGTACGTTGAATTGTACCAAAGAATGTTTTCATTTCCTTTGCTAACAATCGTATTGAACTTCGTTTTCTTTTTGATTACCGTTGTTTAACCTTCTGAATAAACGCCTTTATTCGAATAATTCTGAAAGAACCTTTTGGCTCTTCCAAATCAATTGCACCAGTTAAGTCTACTGATTTTATCCAATAAAAACTGTTCTTCTGGAAACAACACCACATAGATGTTGATGGATTCCGCTTCCATTGCGACCTTCCTGATGCAATCGCAGTACTAGTTCTCGAATGTCTTTACTTTTCGTTCTAAATTCTTTTAAAGAAAATCAAAGTTAATCTAGAAAGAGTACATTTCTGTAGAGCTTGAAATTTTTTATCTTTTGATATATTAGAGCATTTTCTTTTAAATGAAAAATGGAAGAAAAATGTATCAGCATTCAGTGCAATTTATCTTGGATCACACGTTATAATTATATCAATTGATTGTTTTATGTATATGAAATAGGTTTCTTGAGTCTATCGAAGAATGATACTATTCAAACTTCAACTGCTAATTCTAACAAAATATCGCTGCTAATCGAGCTATGTGATCAATACACAATGATATTCGATATTCTTTGGGCTCTTTCGTTCAATTCATCTATTCAACAACAACTTCAATCTAATCAACCATTCATGATGAAATTAGCTCAAATCGAACGCGACTCTAGCGATGAAAGTATGCGTAAGATCGTGAATGGTATTCTTTGGAATTTGAATTCGAATCATGGAGAATATACCGCGTTGGAAAATCGTGATGATACAGCGTTTGATATAATGATTAGTTATTCACATAAAGACGAACAAATATGTAAACAATTATATGATGAACTCATTCGAGCTGGTTATCGAGTATGGATTGATTTCGATCAGATGCATGGCAATGTTATGGATGCAATGGCACAAGCTATTGAACAATCTCGAATGATTATCATATGTATGAGTGAACATTATCGTCAAAGTAATTATTGCCGAGCCGAAGCACAATATGCGTTTCAACATCAATTAAAAATGGTGCCGATCCTTTTGCAAAAACACTATAAGCCTGATGGTTGGCTTTTATTTCTCACTAGTCAATTACTTTATGTTGATTTTACTAAAAATAACTTTTCGCAAGCAATCGGCATGTTAACGAAAGAGCTCACCGCAGTACATCTGTGTGATAATACGCCCACCGTGACTGTTCAGCCGAAAAGAGATAATTTAGAGCTATCCACTACTTCCTCTTCTTTGACTCAATCACAGATACAAGCGGTGATATTTCCTGAAAATGTACAAGATTGGACAAAAGCACACGTACATCAATGGCTATTAGAGAACAATCTTTCACACATGGCCAGTATTATGTCTGATATTGACGGCCTGAGTTTAATTTATCTAAGTGAATATATGATCAGTAGTGAACCACAACAAATTTTGTCATTATTTCAACAAGATTCACTTCAACGTTCAAATCAAAGTGTGTCACTGCTCGAATTGTCTCGTTTTCGTAGTTTAATCGAGAGAAATGATCTGGCATCGTTGGCATCTATCAAACTGTCAATAAAATTAGCTCATAATAAGACGGTCAATGATCATGCACGATCTTGTCGCTTAATGTAGATCGTACGAACCGAACTATATCAATATGATATTCGTCGCATTATCTTGAAAAATAATAATCATCTAAATTATGAATATCTACTCATTTTAATGTAAAAACAACACAATGACGCATAGTAACACTTAAAAAAGATATATTTTGATAATTGAATCACTAGATGATATTAGGGTGTGGGTGTGGTGTGGGTGTGGGGTGTGAGGTGTGGGGTGTGGGTGTGAGTGAAATCTCTTTAATCACACGCACACACACACCCACAGCCCGCACTCCACCCTGACCCACACCGACATCCACTCCTACTCTTGCTGTACAGATAATATGCTCAATCGACATGATAGGAATGATCAAAGCAATGGTCGAAATCGAAAAATAAAAATCTATAAAATACATCACTCTGCTATTTATTAAACTCTCTGCTTCAATGTGCAACACCATCAAAGATAAGGTCGGAAATTGTGTCGCAATGTTTCGCGCAGAGAGCGAAAATTTCACCGTTCTTTCTCTTTGTGTCGTACATGCTGATTTCCATTGATTGATGGATGGACGATGAAGAAAATATTGAAAACAAGATCACTTGTCTTAAAACTACGTAGCTTCTGATTGCTGCGAAATGTGAGTGTACCATGCAACTGTGAATGTCGATACGAATATGGTCGATGAGTGAAGTGGTTTCAGTCTTCTTTTTCACTATGCGCAAACTTTAAGGATAAAGCATTCCATCCAGATACATCCACATTCATACCCAAGATCATACCCATACCCATATTCACACCCAAATCCGCCCACAGCCTCACCGTTTTCACTAGCGAAGTGAGGGTGTGAGTGTGAAAGTATGAGTGTGAGAGTATGCATGCACTAAAAAAAAATGGTACGATACCGAATTAAAAAGGGTCTCATGGACTAAAAAAGGTTTCGTACATAGTACGGAACTTTAAAATGTTTCGAATTGGTTACAATTCTCGACACCCTTTTAGGTTTCGTAGAGAGAACTACGAAACACTTGAAGAAGTATGTTTGGCCGATGACAATTATTTTAAGGCACTCGAGGTTTTTACGAAACCTTTTTGAGGGTTTCGTGCTCGTTTCAAAAATGGTTTGGTGCAGTGGAAAAAAATGAGTATGATTACCGAACCGTTTTCGAAACAAATACGAAACTCTCAAAAAGGTTTCGTAAAAACCTCGGGTGCCCTAAAATAATTCTTATTGGCCAAGCATACTTCTTCAAGTGTTTCGTAGTTCTCTCTACGAAACCTAAAAGGGTGTTGAGAATTGTAACCAATTCGAAATCTTTTTAAGTTCCGTACTATGTACGAAACCTGCTTTTAGTCCACGATAGGTTTTTTGCCTGGGTATCGTACCATTTTTTTTCAGTGTGTGGTGATATAGGTGTGAGCATTGGTTTTTATCTTAACTATATCCACGCCCATCATCATTCTTCGTGCCCTCTTTCCTTAAATGCTTTACTATTGGTATGTGCAATCTTTCTCAATTGAGTATACATTGAAAAAAGAATTTGAAGCAAAGAACGGGAAAAACAAGAGATCAAAACAGACAGAAATGGAGCATAAAGTGCTGCCATGCTGCATACGCAAGAAATTATTCATTCAAAGAAAAAAAACAAAGTGTGTAAGACGCAGAAAAGCTAAAATTAACTGTGGCGATTCATTCAGATTAAGAAGAACACTTTAGTTTTAATTACTTGATCGTGGTGAGTAAATTATTAGGAAGATTTGAAAATTACAAGAAACTACCTTGAATGTTACTTGGTTACCCTTAAGGTTCTGCGAATATTCGAACGATTGAGACAGATATGACGTTGAAAACTATAATTGGCTTTACTGAAGCGGACTCTTTTGCAAATACATATTAGTTGTCAACTGCGCTCATTAATATTTTTGCAGCCATCTCATATTTGGCTGATCTTTTTACTCTTCTCAATTTCATGATATTGCTTACACTGTGAAGTCGAAAATAAGCTGTAGAAAACAAAGGGATATTCTAGGAAAGCCTATACGAGTTTGACAATGAGTTTTGTATTTTCTTAACAATACGATGCTCAAAAAAGTTCGAAATTCAATTTTCGATTTTCAAATGAGAAAATCAGTATCGTATTCATATGGATATTCCTAGCGTATCGAACGCGCTTTCGCATTCTGAACATTTTTCTAAAACTAGAAATATCTATTATGACTTGTTATCTTGAAGATCAATACTTTTTTCACCTGAATACATATTTTATTTATGAGCTCAAATCTATATATAGGCAACAAACCAAGGGGGAAACAGCTGATTATTGATTATGGTTGATTAGACTTGATTAGGGATGATTAGGGAGATGATTAGCTTTCAAACTAATCATCTCTAATCAAGTCTAATCATCCATAATCAAGTCTAATCAACCCTAATCAATAATCAGCTCTTTTTCCCTTTCAACAAACCTATATAAAAAAAAAAGAAAAAATTAAGCATTAACTCATGTATTATACCTTAAAAATACCAAAGTAAAATATAATTATGCTACAAAGGTTTTCATATACATATATTAGAAGGACACTGATCTTATACAAAACCAACATTGCAGCTATTAGGAAATAGTGCTTATGAACTAATTTAAATATGCGGAAGTTCTAATAGAAGTGTAGTTATGTAAAATGAATACTTTTGTTATAAGAAGAATGTTTCAAAATGAACGATCAATTTTGAGCGCAATGAGGATATATGAAGGACAGCGTATAGTTCAAAAGCTAAAATACTGAGAAATATCGAAAGCGTTTTCAGAAAAGCAAATACAGATATTATTTCTCATGACCAATAAAAAAGCAAACTGTATGTTTTCGTTATTTCATACCGAATTAAATAATATGTGCTAGTTGCACTTAATGTAACTCACATACTTGCTGCAGCAGTTGAGCAGAAACGAACTCTTGATACCTTCGACTAACCTATATATGTAACTAAACAAAGACTACAGTAGTCATCGTTTAAATGATTTTCTAAAAAATATTACATTGCTTTTTCCTGTTTCATGAAACCTAAACTTATTTTCTACAGCACTGTGTCAAGATCGCCAGGCTTGAGAGAGGGTTGACGACTCAATAGGTAGATTAAAAGTTTCAGGCTGAAGTTAACCGGATTTTGGTGATTGTTGTTCAGCAGTTTTCTAGAAATTCGCAACAAAACTACTAATAAAACACTAAAACTCCGCTACAGAAAAGCAACATGTTGCAAGCTTGCGGATTCATTCCCTTGATTTCTACGCTAGCTCGGCACATTCCTAATTATTTATGAAATTGAAATTAATATTCAAACATCTCCGAAAATTTTTGTTACTTTTCTAATTCGTTCGAAAATAGCATTTCTGGAAAACCGGATTCAAACTCTATTTTACGGAAAAGCAAGCGTTTTCTAAAACTTTTAAAATCGTTAGACGATCAATAAAGATTTGAAAACGCTAGAGTTTTTACAAACTAAGGTGTGGGTGGGTGTGCGTGTGGTGTGGATGTTTCGTTTCTTTTCCTTTTCAACCACACCCACACCCTTTTCTGTTCATTTGAATTACAATCATTGAAGGAGTTCAATAGCTTTGTGTTCTTCTTGTTGTCTTCATTTTTTCATTAACTACATCAAATTCAAATGTTTTTTTACATTTGTTGAGGAAAGTTTTAACGGATATTTCTGGTGTTGATTCGTTCACTTAGTGCATTTATGTTATAATCAATTGTATCGGTAAAAGTTTTGAGTATACCAAATGTTCTAAACAAAAGANGATCGTAATCCTGCTAGATACAAACGCAAATCCATTCAAAAATAACTCTTCTTACCCAATTTTCCAAGCTAAACACGAATCTGAACTCAATTCCTGTGATTTCTAAAGATATAATATCACTCTGAGAGTAGAGTCAGTGGTCACCGGATAGGGTCGCATACAGTATGGTCCATGCTAACTTAGCACGTCTGTATTTTCTCCTTGCAATTTAGTGATAAAAAACACAGTGAATATACCTTTTCACTTTTTGAAGTACACATAACATTCGGATTTAAATCCGAGGTTTTCGCATTTATTATGAAATATTTAAGAATATCTCTAGAGAAATTTCTTTATTCTAAAGCTTCGACAAGGTGTTATTTTAGAATTTGACTATAATGCTGATGGTTTATTTTCCATTTAAATTATGTTTCAATGAATAGTTGGTAGGTTTCGTAGTGCTCAGCGAGATGGGTGTGCCAACTGTTCATAAAAATAAGACGTTTGTTGGAGTTTAATAAGGTGAATTTGGGCGCGGTCTGATGTTCCGATAACTTGAATTCATGTAACTCATTATTAAAGCTCAATTAGTTTCAGATATACAAATATATTTGATAAGAAGAATCTTTAATAACTCTCATGATTGAGAAAAGTCATAATAAATGATTTTTTTAAAGCTCTTATTCTTTTTTCGATTTCTTAATTTTATTTATTTTTACTTTAGATGATGTATCGGTTGCTGTTGATGAACGCTTTTGTTGATTATTTGCTTTTTGAATAGCTTTTTGTTCAATTTGTAATGCATCTTCAAATCGTTTACACAAATCCTAAGCAAGAAATAAAAAAAAAATTTTACTTATAAAAGAATTTCATCTCACTGTATATCCTTGAAGTAATTCAATTAACAAATCAAAATGATCATTAATAACTTCATCATCACGTTTATATTGTTCATTAATTCGTTCTGAAATAGCATCTATTTCAACGGGTAAATTACTAAGACCAACTTGAATAGTTGGCCAATAATCATTCGGACCTGTTGCCCATCGATCAATACTTGTTGAATCTGAACCAATTGTTCTATATAAAAATTAATCTAATGCTCTTATTTCAATATAAATATTAATATTTTAACTGTAAAGTTTTTTCAATATTTGCAAAATCATTGGCATTTTTAAAATTTTTTTCATTGATACTTTTTAAATATCCACGAATTTGATTGAATTGTTGATGAAGAAATGATATATGTGTTTGGCTTATGCGAAACATTTGTATACCATCAGAATCTTCTCCATGTTTCTATGAAAATTTAAAACAAAAACTCAATTTTTCTTAAATTGAACAAAAGAACTTGGTTTACTAAGAAATTACTTCAATATTATCATTAGAATTCAATGATGATTGGGATTCAGAACTGAATTCATCAAGAACATTTTTATATGTTGCTTTCATATTATCAGCACATGACTAATGAATAACATAAACAAAGAATAAAAGTATTAATTAGAAATTATTTTCATTTATGAAAAATACGAACTGTTCCTTGAAAAGTTAGAAAAAATTTTATAATATCTGTATCATAAATAGTTGGATGACGACATAAAATTTGAAGATATCGTTTTAATGATCGACGACGTGCTTCAATAAATTCTTTATCAACTAAAAAACATGACAAAAAGAAATTCAAATAACTGACTGACTTCAATTATTAATTGAAAGAAAAATAAATGAGCGAATATGAGCAAGTTTTTCGTTTTATAATCATCTAATTGAAAAAAAAAAGCAGCTCAAGCTAAACAAAATAAGACCATTAACAGTTTTCTTCGGTGGAAGTGATGGTATTATTCGATATGGATATTTCGAAGTCAATAATTCATTTAATGCAAGAAAATCATTATAACGACGTGAAACTTTGTTTTTTAAACGCTAATATATTTGATAAAACAAGAAAAGAATAATGACATATGTCAATAATAAAATGAACTAAAATGCGTACCATACTGGTAATTTCATACTCAACATGTCGTATAATAATACCTGAAAAATATAGTTTTAAATGGAAGATAAACTTTTTTGTACAAGAAAAAATTGTTTGTTGCCTTTTTTTTCTGGTGCAACATCCACATCAATAGTATCAAGTGAACAGAGGTCATTATAACGAAAACAGAGAGTAGTTTTTTTTTTATCACTTCGAAGTAAACGAACTAAGCGATCTTCTAAATTGATTATATTGTCAATTTTTGGTACCGGTAATTCTAAAACAAGATAAGAAACTCATTTTATTCTTTTTTTAATGCATCACATTTGGAATATGATACCACGATTTACATAATTGTCCAATAATTTCACATCGATTGTTTTTCCTTGCTGAGCAAGTGCCATTAATGCCAAACATTTATAAAAATCATTCCGTGAGTCTATGGAACTTGACTTAGTAACGCTATACCAAATCTTAACAAAATAACAAATAAAATATTCTATCACTCCTAAAAATATTTTAGCTTTGTTTCAGTAAACTTGCTTGGTGTAAAACGGTTTTTGTCAATGTATTCGACTCAAATAAAGGTACAAATATAGTAAATGTCAACTTCTCCAATCCATGTAAATTAATTGTTTCGAATAGATCACGATAGATTGTAGGAATAGAACCTATATTATACGAGAAAAAGAAGATTCTACTGACTTACTTATTTTTTCAACTACCTCCGCTTAAATCCATGTGGATTTTTGTAAAAAGTTTCACTCGTCGACTTCCTTTCAAGATGAGAAACAACTAAAAATAACAACATAGTTATCTAAAAGAGATAAAACGGCAAAACAAGTGTACCAATAGATGTCGCTGCTTTACAATTTTAAAAACAAATATTTCAAATAAATTTTAGATATTCCTACAAACTATTTCTCTTTAATGAAAATATGATTCTAATTCGAAAATATTTTTTATTAATGTATATTATAGTAAAAATGAAGTCCTAATATCTACAGCAACGAACTCAATTGAGAGATGGCTAAATTCTTTAAAGCTTTGTTTACTTTTTTTTTTTTATCTTGTGGTTTTCAAACTAAATCAATTACAAATCAATCTTATAGCATGTAATGGCATCTGATAGTGAACTTGATCGAAATGCTATTTTTGAAAAGTAATATTATCTTATATTTTCAATAATTATATATTTTGATTGATTTTATTTATTCAATTAGATTTGCCTCAATAAAACGAATGCATGATGAAGTTGGTAGAAAACAAACGGAAGATTATCAAAAACGATTAGAAAAATTAAAAGAAGAAGAAGTAAATATTATAAAACAAGGTTTTTTTTTGTTTTTGTTTAAATAATAATCGATTTATTGAAAATAAGAAGTTAAATATATTAATTTTTCTTTCTTATAATTAAAATAAAATTAATTCTAAATATTTATCTTCTATTTAGTCTAATTATATGGCTAAATTATTATCTCAACAAATTCCAAGTCAATCTCAACAAGATGTGCCTAGTCGAGTACAAAATTCAGCACGGTAAATTAAAATATAATTTCATGTTTATTATTCAATAAAGAGAAGTCGAACTATTATCAAAATTTTAAAATTAAATCTATATACAAACTTCTTTCATAATATGAAACAAAGAATGAAGATGTTTTTCTTTCGTATTAATCTCAATTATCAAGAAGCAAATAAAAACACAGAATTTAGTTATATTGATAGATATAAGTATCTCATATTAGACAAAAGAAAAGAGAACTGAATTTTATTCTAAACAAGAAATCTAACCAAATAGAGATAATAATATCAAAAGTCTGTAAATCTTATCTTTACTATGACTCACGAAATTTGTTTTTTTTTTAATTTCTAGTCGTGATTTATTTTTAACATCAAAAAATGGTATTAATCAATCTGATGCTCCATTATCACAACAACAACAACATTATCCATTATATAAAGTAAATAAATTCAAACAAAAATAATAATATAATTAATTCATTGTTTTTATTTAGTCAACAAATCGATCATCATCTCATCATCAAGATTTATATGATAATGGAGATTATGAATGGAATATTGATGATGATTTTCAACCATTAAATATAACCGATAATGAAATACTTGATGAACGTATAACAAATCGTATAACAAATGATGATGAAGCTGAAGATTCATATATTACTGCTTATCATCAATTACTTCAAACTCATCAACAACAACAACAACAACAAATTATGGCTCAACAAGAACAAGAAAATATGTTATCAACTATATTTGAAGCATCTTGTGAAGATGCAACACCTATGACATCACTTGTTGATGTACATCAACAACGTATACAGATATCTCCACCATTACCATCAATTCGAATTACTAAAGATAATCATATTAGTCATAGTGACGAGGAAGAAGAAGAAGAAGAAGAATACGAAGAGAAAGTTGTCCGTCCAATAGCACCATCATTTTCTTCAATTGATGACATCCCTGTTTCAACAATATTTACGAAAAACGAAAGTAAAATATTTAACTTATTATTCAAAATAAATTCTTTTTTTTTTTTCTTCCACTTATTATTATTCTAGATTTAAAATATAGTGAATATATCCTTGAAAAACTTCAAATAGAGGTAAACAATCATTTACGATTTTCGTTTTTTTTTTTCTTTCCTTCATATCACGATTTCAATGCACATAAGACAAAAAAGAAAATTTTTACTTTCTATTCTTGTATAAAAAGAGAAAATGAAGAAATTAATATGAGTAGCTTACTTAGAAAAAAAAAATAGAAGAATGACAATAACAATTTTGTATTTCGATAACAAACAACAACGATAATGGATTTTTAAGAAAAACAAAAACTTTATAGATACGATAACAAACATGATCATTTATAATTGGTGGGTTTTTTCCCTTCAAGAACAAAATAAAAAACGGAATATTCCTTGTCAATGCTTTAGTTATATATTTATATTCATAAACTTCATTACAATTGATAAAGATTATATTCAACATTAAATTATATCTTATTTATAATAATAATATTTAATACTTGTTTGTCATTACTTTTAAATATGACATCTACATTTGAAATTACATCTTCAATAAACAATTCAAAGATTTGTAACACAACAGATATACAAAGTGAGTTGATTACTAACCGAAATCGAATCAGTAAAACTCAATTCGATTTGACCTTTGGATCTATATGTTTATTAATCTTCTTTCTTTGTTCTTCTATAGTTCAAAATTCATCATTTACCAATGATTCTTCTTCGAAATTAGCATATTCTTATTCAACTGTTGAAGAAAATCTTCAATGTCCTATGTGTCATACTCGTTTTCATGATCCACGTGTATTACCATGTCAACATATATATTGTTGTTCATGTCTTAAAAGAATTATATCATCAAATAAATCTTGTACAACAACAATAGTTTGTTCATTATGTTATCAAAGATTTTCATTTCAAAATATTGAACAAATTCCTAAATCATATATTCATAATAATTTACTTGATTTAATTCCAATTAATTATGATATTAAAGGAAATTGTTCAAAATGTAAAATAAATACTTTATTAAATTTATGTCCATGTTGTGATTATTATTTATGTAAAATATGTTTTGAAAATGATCGTAAAAATTTATTAATTAATGTTAAAAATATTTTTCATATATGTTATAATAATCGTGATCATCTACAAAAAATAACATCAATAGAAATAAATAATTTATTATATAAAACAAATTTTTTATTAAATAATTCTCAAAGAATAGAATTTAATGATATTGTATCAATATTTTCTGATTTAAATATTATTTATCAACAAATAAATAAATTACCAATAACAATAACTAAACAAACATATGAAAATTCATTAGATATAAAACAAATAAATATTGAATCAACAACTTATTTACATCAACAAGAAGAACAAATCATTGATGATGATGATGATGATGATGATGATATTATTTATATAAAAACAATTCAATCAACATCTACATCAACATTTGATAACGAAATAGTTATTATTGAGACAGATGAATAAAAAAAAACTTTTTCTTGTACATATATATATGTATATCCCTATAACATCTAGTCTTATGTGCTTTTTTTTTTTTGTTTCGAAAGAATATAAACAAGAATATATTTAGGAAAAATAAATATATCTATATTTTATTTAGAAAGATGAAACATTTAATAATCAAAATCAAGGAACTAAAGAAAAACGACCATTTTTACGAAAACGTCAAGGTCTTGCTCATTATCAAGCACCACCAAAACGTCGTCAAATGTGCCCAAAAACAACTGATACTAATAATAATACAAAAACTGAGGTAAAAAAAAATGATGTTAAACATTTCATCGAATTAAGAAAAATAACATTCATTTTCGTTGTTATTATTTCACACAGATGTTTCATACATTCATTTGTCTTGTGTCATAGGAGTAGTATCCAGGCCATACGAGTAGGGGGGGGGGGGGGGGGGGAGGTTGCCCCTCCCAAAATTTGTGGAGAGGCGCTCTCGGGGGAGTGTTATGNCAGTTGTTTTTGGGCACATTTGACGACGTTTTGGTGGTGCTTGATAATGAGCAAGACCTTGACGTTTTCGTAAAAATGGTCGTTTTTCTTTAGTTCCTTGATTTTGATTATTAAATGTTTCATCTTTCTAAATAAAATATAGATATATTTATTTTTCCTAAATATATTCTTGTTTATATTCTTTCGAAACAAAAAGGTGTTAGTTCACGACTGAATAAATAAAAAAAGACGAGTATTTAAGAATTATTTTCGATGTGATATAAATAACTTCTAGAACGAAACCAATGAAGCTTGTTTTTGTACATATCTACTCTAAACCGTTGCGCTTTCGATACTTCACTTGATAATTACTTCGCAAAGATCAAATTTATAGAATTGATTTATGTCCGTTGTAGATAAATCGAAATTTTTGTACATTGTGTAGCTTCTAGTGAGCTTTAAATACTCTGAAAAGATTTCGGATTGTTAGCTTATTGCTAGATCTTAACTACCCACGGAAAAATTCTTCCGAAAAAAACCGCGGTAATCTAAGGTTAACCGCGGTTTTGTTCCACATTTTGAAAAACCGCGAAAGTCAGACCGTTTATGCGGTTTTTTGAAACCAGCGAAAATCGCGGTGAGAACCGAGAAAACCGCGATCCGAGCTGAGTTCTTGTAGACCTAACCGCGGTTTTCTCGGTTCTCACCGTGGTATTTGCAAACCGCGGTTTTCGCCGGTTTCAAAAACCGCATAAAAGGTCTTACTTTCGCGGTTTATGAAACCGCGGTTTTTTCTTGAAAAATTTTTCCGTGGGTAGATTATCTTTTTACGAAAGTTGCAGGTCTATTAATTGGTTCCTATCCTAAAATAAATACATTGAATCTGTCGTTGTATATAACCGATATAAAAGGGTGATCTTCTACTATAGCTGTATCCAGTGGCATACGCAGCGGGGGGGGCCGAGGGCCCCCCCCCTTTCGAAGTTGGGCCCCTCCCTTGAAAAATTTCTGCGTACGCCACTGGCTGTATCTAAGGACGAGAACAANGGGAGCTTTCCCCTATCGCGGGATCGAGGGGCGGAGGGCGGGGGGGGGGGCCGGCCCCCCCCCCCCCCCCCCTTGAAACGAAAAAGTCCTGAAGGGGGTACAGGAAAAAATATTTTCGCGTGATAAAAAATTTTTTGTGCCATGGCGGCCCCCCCCCCTTTCGAAGTTGGGCCCCTCCCTTGAAAAATTTCTGCGTACGCCACTGGCTGTATCTAAGGACGAGAACAATGAAAATATCTGAAAATTTCACTATACAATTCTACACATATTGAAGATTACTGATTTGTCGATCCCGGCTGAATTTCAATTCTAGAACTCCAAGTTTTATTCGAGATAAGAAAAAAAAATCAACGAATTATTTTCTTTTTAGTCTATTAAACGACCAACAAGTGCTAGTAGTACAAATAGTAATTCACGTTCGACAACAGCAAATCAACGAACACGTTCTAATTCATCATCAGCATCTATGATATCAAATCGACAAACATCACGTTCATCATTAAAAACTAAACCAACTAAACAAATAAATAATATAAATACAACAAAACAAACAATTCCTATTTCTGCTCAAAGTAATCTATTAGGTAAAGTTGATTTAGATGATGAAGATGATTTATTAACAAAATATCAAACAAAACAAAAACCAATTGAATTAAATGATAATGATAATAATGATGAATTTACATCAACAATGAGTAAATTTAATTCTAATATTCAAACAATGATTGATTCGAAATGGAATGCATATAAAACATCATTTCAACATAATGAACAAGAACAAGTTCATGAAGATGATGATAATGATGATGATGATTTATATTGTACTAATCGACAACGTACATCAAGTCGTAGTAATGCTATTCAATCAAAAATTTTAGTAGTTCAACCAAAAAAAGTATAAAAATAATTAGTTATTTATTGTTTCGTTTTATTGATTACTGTTTTGTTTAGGATTTAGATGAGTTTGAAAAACTTGAACAGTATGCCGAAGAACATCCATCAATGATTAGTACAGCATCTTTTGTTGATAAAGTAGTTTTTAATGTAAGAATATTTTATAAAATATAATCTAAAAAGAATTTTGAAGTATAGAGATTTGAACCCATTCCTGATAGACGTTGTTGCTATACGATCTAAAACTGTATATCAATAACGTCTTATTATAATTTGTGAGCTACTTTCTTATGAAACACTAAGGAGTTTCTTCCCCTTGCGTGACTCACAATTTTCATTTCTTTTATATTTCGTATGTAGATATTAAAAAAGTGTAAATTTCTTTGCGATTTTCAAATAAAATTCAGAATTCACATTTTAATTCTACAATGATTGTGCTCACAGCTTTTCTCGTATATTTACCATTAGATTATAAAATATTCTTTTTTTTTTTTACAAAACATTATTTCGATATTTGTAGAATGATCAACAGTCGAAAACAGTGGATATTGTTTTTAATCGTTTAATTCATTATCATAAAGAAGATAATAATACTAAACATGAAGAAACTAATGATTTATCAATAAATACAAATCGTATTCGACAACGAAAAATTATACCATTTAAAAGTAAAATTGATACTCGTATTGAACCAATAACAACAACAACTACCATAGCAAGCGATAATGATAATGACGACGACGACGACGATGATGATGATGATGATGAAGATCATAAATGGGATGATATTGAAGTAGCTAAAGTCATTCCTGTCGTTACCGATGAATATAATAGTGATAGTGGTATTAGTTCATTTAAAACTGATTTTCCTAAACAAACACAATATCAACAAAAAAGAGATTCAGCACGTTCATCAGAGTTTGGTGATGATCATTCATGGGCTGATCGTGTTAATGCTCCACCTCTTAATTCATTAATGCTTAATACATTTCCAGGTTTACGACATACAGTACCAACATCAGTACCTGCTCCTCCGCCACCGCCTCCTCCTCCAGCACCATCTGCATCTGAACATAATCAAGATTATAGTCGTTTAGTACGTGAAAAAGCTAAAGAATTAGAAAAACAAATTGAATTATTTGAAAAAGAAAATTCAAAATTACAATCACTTTGTAATGAACGTAATTTAGCTATAAAAAAATTAAAACAAGATCGTGATGAATTTGAAAAAATAAAACAAAAAGAAATGGAAGAATTTAATCAAATGAAAGACGATGAAATAAAAAAATTAAAACATGAAAAACGTTTATTTGAACAACATCGACAACAATTACGTGATCATCCCGATAAACATGAACGAGAAGAAATTGAAATATTAAAAAAACAAGTAAAAAAAAAAGAAGAACGATTTTATCATTTGTATTGATGATTTGGTTTTTTTTTTTCGATAGGTTTTAACTTTACAAGAAGATTTAAAACAACGTGAAACACGTTGGTCAACAACAGTCAATCGTCTAAAAGAACGTATTGAAACATTAGAATATGAAAATGCTGAATTAAAACAAGAAAAAGATATTATTGAACGTAAACGACTTGATCTTATGCATCAATTACAAACAACTTCTAAACCACAGCAACAATTACATGAAGATATATCATCATTATCAACAACAGCAAGAAAATCACTTGTTGAACTTCAACAAATTAAACCACGTCCAAAAAGTACTGGTCCAACAACATCAAAAACTCAATCATTACCAAAAACTATGGTTGTTAGAAATTCTGAACCACCAATTAAACCAAAAGTAACATCAAATGGACGACGAACACCAACAACTGTTATTGGTGTCAATGGAATTAAAAATAATATTGATACATCAAGAAAATTATCAACATTACCAACAACAAAACGTCCAACATCAATCAATGAATTAACAGGAACAATCGAATCAGTACCAATACCAACAATTATTGAACCACCAATTGTTATATCAGAAAGAGCTGATTCAGGAAATGGTGGAAGTGATGAAGATAGTCATCGATATGATCGAAAAATTAATGAACGTTTATCACCGTAAGTAGACGAGAAAAAGTAACTAGATAAGAATGTTAATCATATTTTCTCATAAATTAAGATTAAAAATATGATTCAATGATCATGAAAATGAATTGATTATTTTCGTAAATATTTGACATGACTAGAAATGTGTGCGATCAGAATTTTCGACACTACAAGAAGAAAATTGTCCCAATAGAAACTGTAGATTATAGTTAAATATTCTATGGTTTTAAGCGAACTACGCTATTAATCGTAAGGTAATTGAAAAGAGATTACCTAAAAAAAGTACTAGGATCAAAAAAACTTGAGTCCGCACATCCTTAGTCATGACTCATTTGATAATCATCACGTATTATCACAAAAAATAGCTTTTGAAGAAATATATTACAATACTTAAGGGCCCCCCCATACCTAAAAACAAAAAGCAATTTTCCCCATAATCTCTACTTTCGAATGCACTATAATTTATTGGTTTTATGAGGGTTTTACAGCGGTTTTTCTGAAGACCCCTGCATCAATAAAGTTTTTTTTTCGAAACTTCAGTTATTAAAGTTATTAGAACTTTTCTATACGTTTGGAAAAAAGTATGTCGTACATGTCTCTCTATGTGCTCATTCGATTCACCATAGTCGATAACCTATAATAAACTGCCCTCGGTTTTTTTCACTACCACTTTTAAACAAAAAAATCGCGATAATCAAAAAAAAAAAAAATTATTTTGCGTTTTTCTCGAAACTGTTTT